TCCCTGAGCAGCATGTGGTGACAGTGGAAAGAAATGACTCCCTTTTAACAGGAAGAAACCTCCAGCAGAACCAGGCTCAGGACAGGCGGCCATCTGCCTCGACCGGCTGGGTTTGAGAGACAGGAAAGAGACACAGAAGGACTGGTCCAGGTGTATTTTCTTCTGGAAGAGAGACATTGAAAACGTTGATAAAAATTAACACGTAGATGAGAGACTAAAGACAACAGCAGAGTGAAGAAATGTGCTCAGTTTGTGCTCCAGCAGTCTAAGTCTATAGCAGCAGAAATGAAGAATAATTCAGGAAACCTAAGTCTAACTATAGGATTTATCAAAAAGGAAAGTCTTCAGTCTAATCTTAAAAGTAGACAGAGTGTCAGCCTCACGGACAGAAACTGGAAGTTGGTTCCACAAGAGAGGAGCTTGATAACTGAAAGCTCTGCCTCCCATTCTAGAACAAAAAAGAACAAAACAAATTGTGCTGGTAAAGCAAATGTGCTATTATAGCCATTCCTTTCTGTTTTCTCTGAATAATTTATTACTTAATTAATGAACAACAAAAATTTTAGTAAGCAATGTCTCCCCAGTGGAGCCTGAGCCACAAATTAACACTAACAGAGTTTATTCACTATGCTGATTAACCCTTAAAAGAATCTTTCTGATTGACAGAAACCATGAAGTTTAATGACTTCGATTAGCTGTGTTTGTCCGGTCTGCAGAACTGATGGACGATTTTATTCTCAAACCAAGGAAACAAATCAGACAGCTTCATATGGCCCAGATGTCCATTTGTCACTTTTGTTTATAAAGGTCTTGATCTGTTTCAAAAAGTCTAGTAAAAAGAAAAAAACATGTATTTTCACTCTTATCCACATTTTCCTCAGCCACTGAATATTTACCCTCTTAAAGCCTGTGAAGTTTTTGGTTTCTCATTTTGCATGTGAGAAGTGTCATATATTCACCACAGATAATATTTGTTGTGCCATAAAGCAATAGTCATGGACATCGACTGACAGTGTTTCCTAACAAGATAATGCTAAATGCTACCATGTTGTTAAGACTTTAATGTGGCATAACTTTTGCATGATAAATGTTGAAGACATTTTCTTTTTTCTAGCATTGGTGAGGGTACCAACGCTCTGTTTGTGAGTGGTCTGTGCCGCTGGCCGGGCTGTGGTGCAGTACTGGAAGATTTCTCAAGTTTCTTAAAGTAAGTGGGCCTAAAAGTATTTTATTTTTAATGTCATGCCACATTTGTAGATAGCAGAGATGCCCTGATCAAGATTTATGTCTCTAACAGATCACAGTCAACTATACCTATACTATATCTGGAGTTGAAGTGGCCTAGGCCTGGGTATATTATGACACAGGCCAATTTAAAATTTGGGGTCTGCACTTATATACACATACTTGGAGTGGTGAGATAAGTGGAGGCAGCTGAGAATAATGAACACCGTGAGTACTGTAGATGTGAGCAGTAAACAAGGCAGGAAATGACTGAGGGAGAAAAGAAAGGTAACACAAAGAGACACTGGGAAACAAAAGATTTAAAAATGAAAAAAGAAACAAAATAAGCACAAACACAGATTCAAATCATTTAATTGCTGCTCAGAATGACATCTACGGTAGTTTAGCAGAAGCCTCTTAATCACTCATTCATTTCAGTCAGGTGTGCTGAGGCAGGGAAACGTACTGTAAACATGTGGGACAGTGGGCCACGAGGAACAGGGTGTGAACCCCTGGACTAGTGGACTAAATTATAGGGTAAGCATCGGTCTACTACTCTACACAGTTGTAGATCAAACAGTAGAGGTTCTCCTCAACCCAATAAAAGTATGTTTCTTTGTGGAAATAGAGGATGGAGACTCTGAGGGGACTCACATATCTCTGGACCTATGATTGGTAGGTACATAACTCTATAGTGGCAAAGCTTTGGTAATGAATGAAGTTTGCCTCATAGATATTGTTAGACAGTGGAAGGGAAACTTTGCGAATCTCGACTTGTGTGTAACCCATGAAAAGTCTACTGGAGTTTTGATTATGAACGATGACAGGATGGAGCAAGATCTGGATGATAGAAGGTTTTCCATAAAAGAATGATAAAGAGACTTCTCCAGTCTGCTGGGATAAAAAAAGTCAAAACTATTAACATCCATTAATCAGAGGCGATTTCTCTAAGACTGCAAGTGAAGSTCAGCTTCCCCTAAAATGTTAAAAAAAAATCAAATATATACTGTTGTGAGTACATGTCACTGACTAAATACGCGCTACAATGTGCTCAACTTTTGTTCAGAATCAGCTTCTTATCACTGGTAACGACACGGCTTTCCTCATTTCACTCATTCCCGCAGCTTCACAGTGGTTTAAAATAGGGCTGCACCGATCAGTTGAAATAATCGATGTCCTCGATTATTTAAATTTGTCGACGCAGAATTTTTATTATCGATTTGCTGTATTACATAACCA